TTTTTCCTTGAGAGTATCAAAGGCAACTTGATGTTCCTGTTTCCATTTGAAAGATGTTTCTTTTTGAGTTAGTTGGTATAAGGGTTGTGCAATTTTTGAAAAGTCGTGAATAAATTTCCTATAATAAGAAGCTAATTTCAGAAAGCTTCGGACTTTTGTTACATCCTTAGGTCGAGGGAAATGCTGTACTTTTTCAATTTTTGCTAGATCAGTAATGATACCTTGGTCACTAACAATATGACCTAAAAATTCAATTTGTTTCTTCAAGAAATGACATTTGTCAGGGCCTAATTTAAGACCAGCAGTACGTAGCCGTTTTAATACTTCTTTTAATTTCTCCAGGTGTTCTTCAAATGTTTTGGAATAAATATTAATATTATCCAAATAGACAATAACACCTTTATATAATAATCTATTAAAAACTTGATTCATAAGTCATTGGAAAGTAGCCGGAGTATTAGTTAACCTAAATGGCATTACTGTAAATTCATAGGTTCCTTGCTTTACAATAAAAGCTGTTTTCTCCTTATCACTAGGGTCCATTTCAACTTGCCAGTATCCACTTGCTAAATCAAGAGTGATAAACCATTTTGTACCTTGCATTGCGCTTAACATATCATCTACACGAGGGATAGGATAAGCGTCCTTTTTTGTAAGGGCATTCACTTTTCTATAATTAACACATAGATATTGTTTTCCATTTTTTTTTGTCTACTACAACTACTGGAGAAGCCCAAGGGCTAAAGGATTTCACAACTAGTCCTTTTTGTAGTAGTCGTTGGATTTCTTCCTCTATAAATTATTCTTCAATTGGATTGGAACGGTAAAACCTTTGCTTTACAGGTTTCTCAATTCTAGTGTCAATTTTATGTTGAATAATATTTGTTCGTCCCAATTGACTAATATCAGTTGCAAACATATCTTGATTCTCTTCAAGTAACTGATTAAATTGTTCTTGTTATTTAGTACTTAAAGTACTAACATTCAATTTAGTTTTAACTAATGAGTCTCTCATCATTACAAGGATTTCATCCAAAACATCCTTATCATTATTACTATCATTTTCAGATTCTGATTCTGAATTGCTTTTCTCATCTTTAGACTTAATAGAATTTGAATTATCACTTTCTGTATCATTTTCAATTTCATTTTCTTTATTATCATCACTTCATTTTTATTCTTTTTGGAAAAATTCATTTTCTCTTCAGAATATTCAATACAGTCTTCAAAAGTTTTATCTTCATCGTTTTTTTCAATTTCAGAAAATTCATTTTCATACTAGTTATCACTTTCTATTTCTTCATCGGATGTTTCACTTTCCTCTTCACTAGTACATCAGGAAATTTTTTCTAGTGAAAAACTTCGAAAGTTAACGTTAACGTAAGTATTTTGCTGTTTTTTGATATGTTATCCTTCAAAAGTCTTCGTTAACTTTTGAAGGTTATCGATTTTGATATTTTTACGTGACAAAATTTTACGAATATTATCATTTTCATAGTAAATTCATATAGATAACTTTTGAAGATTATCAATTTTGATATTTTCATGTGCGAAATTTTATAAATATTATCGTTTTCGTAGTAAATTCGTATCGATAACCTTCGAATATCAGGAAATTTTTAAGGGCAGATAACTCCGTAAGTTTTCGGGATGTAAAATTTCCATAAATTTTTACATAAATTTCCGTAAATTTTCATAAATCTTCGAAATTTTTTTATATCAAAAAATTTCGTTAATTTTTACAGAATATTACGAAAAGCTTTTCGTAAATTTTCAAAATTTTTATTGCACAAAATATCATGAAAAATGTAATATTCCATTTAATAGACTAAATATGTAACACAAAATGATTTTGTTTATTTACCTAAATGATCTTGT